TCTAATGCATTATATGGTTGCACTATTCTCTGATTCTCAATTGGAACATGTATACGTCCATCATCTGTAGAGTTTAAATAAAAAAGAAATATAGAAATATATTCTTTTCACATTATACACCACCATCATTAGAAATAATAAATAATACTTGATATTAATATAAAATTATTATTAACAATGTATCAATTTCTTCTAAAATGACATTTGATGTTTTTGAAATTTTCATTTTAGTAAAATCTAATAAAATATTAACAATAAACACGATCAAGTTGATAAAATAGCTATATTATATGCTGAATGATTAAATACGATAGCTCTTACTTATAGATTAATTAATCGTATTCAACCGCTCTGTGAAAAAATCGGTTAATTGTGTATTTTGAAACAAAGTAAAAACTAGTGAAAATTACAAGTCAAATTTACAAATGTATTAAGTATGTTGACCAATAATAAATATTCTAGTGAATTTTTTTTCTAGTGAATTTAGAGGCTTTTGTAATTTTAATCTTATTTCAAGATACACGATCAACTCTCTCTGGCTAATTGCTTTGTCTACTTTGTTTATTCTAGTTTCTAAATAAAGAAACTATGGATCTAAATAAAGAAACTAATCATACTAAAAAATCTTAAGCCTGTATCAGACTAGAAATTGGGATTGAGATTAAATTTGACTAATTAAAGCAAATTTTACTAAACTTAATATTTGTTTTCCTTTCTTCTGAAATGGGTAAATTTCAATCCAATCTCAATTTCGATTTATAGTTTTATACAAGCTTAAAACCCTTTAATTATGATTAGTTTGTATATTTAGAAATTTAAGTTGTTTTCTGTGCTGAATGCCAGTTATGAACTGAATGACACTAAATTTGAGATTCCATTACCAAACATGTAATTAATATAATTAAAATTAATTAACTTATTTAAACATGTAATTAATTTTATCCGATTAATAGATGCAAAATTAATTTCAAGAAATTAAAATGGTAATTCAAATTAATGGTAAGAGAGAATAAACACTAAGTTTAGTTCTCAACAATATAATTGTATAGATCCACAATCAGCTCCATAGAAAAAATGGAGAAGTGTCTTTTCCTTTAGAACGAGTTATCTAACATGATCAACTGGATTAGAAATTGAATCCAGCTTAGTTTTTAAAAGATTAAAAACAAATATATATAACCCAACAATATTAAATAACTAAGAAAGAGACAAAGCAGCTAGCAATTTGTACCATTCAATACAATTCCTCATTGTTATCAAGGAAGTCAATTGCTTCTTCGGTTGTAATATGTTCGGTATCTTTGTCTAATTCAACATTATGTATTTTCCTTCGAAGCGTTCGTTCACAGGGAAAAGGAATATGTTGCTCTAGAATCTGTTGGTACCCAACACTGCCACATGCACGTCTTAACTGAATAGCTCGTTTAACTGTCTCATCGGACCATTCTCGGCAGTTCATTTTTGGATTGGTGAGAACCCTAATCTGATCTTCATTGAAGACTTCTCCTAATCTACTTCTTAATTTGTTGTAAGTTTGATTTTCTTGTCTCAATTTTTTCAAACGTTTCTCTGATCTTATCTTGTATAGGTAACTCTTTCTTATTATCTTGTTAAACAACTCTTCGCGTTTTTTCATAGTGTCTTGAAGTTGCTCACACTTACTTTTGCTCTTTGCCAATAGCTGCTTCAATTCCTGGCATTGTTTTTTCCAGTCTATCTCTTCCTGAACGTTCGTCAACATACTTAAAAGATCTTCCGGTTGTTTATCGTTTAATTGCTTAATATTGTCCGAGTGTAATTGGTATTGATAATTTATTTTAACATTTCCTTCATTTGTCATGCTTGCGATAAGCATGTTTACAACATTGTTGTTCTTGTTGTAATTTTCTGATAAAATAGGAACATCTTGCGGCACAGGAACATCTTGTGGCATAGAAACATCTTGTGGCACAGAAACATCTTGTAGCACAGAAACATCTTGTGATACAAAAATATCTTGCGGCATAAGAATATCTTGTGGCACAGATACGTTGTGTGGCACAGAAGAAGAAATCACAGGTACAGCGTTATACTTTAGTTTACGTTTGCCATCACAACGATCTTTCTCCCACATGTCTTTGGTGAAATGTATCTGTTTATAAATAGACAGACTCGTTAATCATTCTACAAAGAATAATAATAAAAATTCAAATAAATCATACCTCACATATTCGACTGTGCATACTGGGTGTCCAATTCAATCTACCAATACTGGCGATCCATTGTTTTTTCCGATCAGGATTTGAAGGAAAGTTTCTCATCAAAAATCCCTTTCGGTTCGAATTATTGCAACCGGGGACGCAACAACCCGTCATCCCGTGCGAAATCAATCCAGAAAACAATGATAATTTTCCGCGATAACGAGACCTCTGATATTGTTAATTATTTGTCGGATTTTTCGAAATTTGATATCAATCAGACTCACTGATGTTGTAACTATCCGCTACTTTTATAGCATGATGCAAATAGACAAATGTACTATGCTTCAATCTGCTCGTAACTAAAGCAAGAAGTTTGCGCAAAGTAACGCACTGACCTTATTTTCCGCCATTTTAAAACAACATTTAAAACATATGGCTCGCGCGCTTGGCATAAAATTTGAAATGATTGTAAATAATCAAGTTCTAATATAAATTAAGTGAATTAAATAAGTAATAAGTGATAATAAGTAATTACGAATGGAGTATTGATTATTTAATATGCATAAAACTGAGTTTTACTATCATAGCAGGTGTATTGAAACCAATTCGCCTGAAAATGGCGGACTAAAAAGGTCAAGCTCTGATTGGCTGCAG